TGAATGCAGTTTTGTCCGGCGCCACTCCACTTCGTGCAGGTCTGGGTGGCGAGTAATTATTTGAGAATTTCACAACTTGGGAACGGTCTTCCAAGAGAGAATTGAGCCATGATAACAAGGAATCCTGGAACCCGTACCACCTAAGCTTAAGAATAAATCTCTTATATGGGACTTTGTCAAAGGCATTTTTGAAGTCGAAGAAGAGAGTTGTGACAAGAGAACCATGATCATACTTAGCAGTAACATCATCGAAGAAGTCAAGTAGGCAGGTGGAGTATGGGTTACTCTTCAAGAGGCCTTGTTTTTCTGGAGTAAATACCTTGCGAAGCGGAGGTATCAAGCAGTATCTTTCATAAACCTGGGAACTACAGACGTGATATTGATCAGTCGGCAGTTTTCGATATTAGAAGTTGGTCCTAGTTTGTGCCCAGGAGTTATAAACAATAGCTTCCAGCGCTCTGGGTAACTGCCATTATTTAAGGACAGATTGGAAATCTTTAGGGGACAATGGGTATGTTCTCACCACCCCTTTTCAACAAGATAGATGGAATTCTGTCACGGCTGGCATTATACGATGTCCAGAGAGATGCTATAGCTGATAAAAGTTTTGTGGGGTGAATGTTACATTACCCAAAATATGATTTGGTAGTGTCGGAACATCAGGACTACCTACTGTTTCTTCGTTAGTAAAGTAGCTAGAAAAGTAGAAGCTGAATAACTCGCATATCTCCTGCGTGTCTTCGTACAGTTTTTCTCCATCTAGTAATAAGTTAGGGATACTTGTTCTGTTGTTGCTGATTAGTGATTTAATTATTTGTACTAATGCCTCTGTATTGCCGAGTCGCCAGTGGAGGGTGAGTTCTATTTTGATAAACTCAGATAACTGATTGGATTTGTATGAATCACAAGTTTGCCTGAGTGTAATGAGTGATGAAAGGTCACTACATCTGTACAATTGCCTTGCATGCTTATGCAGTCGGTTTCGAATCTTTACGGGGATGTAGTCGGGCTGTTTAGGCCTCGTTTTCACAAGTCTTGCTGGAGCAATGAAGTCATGTGCAAATCCTAGGTTCTAATAGAATAATTTGTTTGTAGGAAGACATGATTCGTTTAGTAACTTCATTCGCCATAAACTCTAACATACACTCAGAATTCAGCAGACTTTCCAGATTGGTATAGCGAGTTTGGTTACGGAGAAGCAGTAACGGCTTAACGGTATTTATATTCTCACTGAATACCTTCATAGAATTTCGTAGAGAAATAAGGTCTAACTTGTTTTGGTTAGTAGTTGCGTAAAGCTCTGATAGCAAGTTAGGTACAATGACTTCGCGGACATCATTGGGGCTAAGGGAACGTGAAGTGATGTACATATCTTATTAGCCGAGTGATTTAAGCTATTCTTACGTATAGAAAGTACTCGTTTATTGCGCCCTGCCATTGTTGCACAATGGTCAATATGGTTTCAAGTAGAAGCTGAGCGAAAACGAAAATAGGCATATGCACAAATAGTATACCGAGTGGATATACAGAATAAGAACTACTGTAGGCACGGCATGGAATTCCATTGCTTATAAATAAACGATCAACAGACAAAAGTATTAAACTGTAAAACACAGACTATATAGAAACCAATTATCCTGCGAATTGATCCTGATTTATAAACCAAAGATAATAAGCTTCCCTATAGTTTCCTTTTGTGTTGGGTTGTTCTTCATTTGTAAAAAGGGGGATGGGCCCTGCGGAAAAGTGAATCCAAACTTGATAACTGGCGGTGATACATCTGTGTAATTGGAAGTTAGGGTAGCAGCCAACATAAATTATAGTTGAGGAGTGGTATAATACTCGAAAAATCGGTAAGAGTATTTCCACGTTGTGGGGAGAGATTGTAAGGCTATTTTGACGGGAAATAACTGAAAGTAGTAGCTGCGCCACTGTTAATTTTCAAACCCCCCCTCTGTTTATTCTGCATCTACGGATGATGGTGTTGGTTCCTCGTCGTTTAGTTACATAATGCATCGAACTGACTCATTTCGTTGAGTAATGATTTACTATATGAACATGACAACTAGATTGCTCCGGTGGTTAGTGTCATTGTTGGTAACTGAAAATGGATAATTTGACATGGGGAACAATAAACGGAAGTCTCCTCCAACTTATGGATAGTGGCTGGGTGTGAGTGACCACAGATTGATAATAGTTCGATTTCAGCTTCTGTTCTATTTCGTGTACAGTCTTTTGTGCCAACCCAATTCACCCCACTCGCATGTTCCTATCTCGTTTCTGCTACTGATGGTGTCGTCCAGTAACACCGCATCAGACAACTAGGTAAATATACTGCATTAAATGGTGAACGGATCTTAGATTTTTTTATCATATTCAAGAAAACGAAGCGGCTGTCATGGACCCGCACTGGAATTCTCAAGAGACCTGGAGCCTCTCCAAAACAACGAGAGGCAAGCGTCAAGAAGATGAAGGATTTGCACAAACTCGTTCCTGTTTATGTAGCAGTGGCCAAACCGTCATAGATTTTGGTCTAGTTCCTTGCGGACTCCTAGAGTGGAAAGCTACGCGCTCTTGTCTGTGCCATTCGACAGCTGGCTACGCCAAAATGAGGCGATATTTGTCTCATGATACCTGGCTCATGGGTTGGACTGGACTATCGACTGAACACTGAGAAACTGTGATGAGATCCTTCATACAGCGATGTTGAACATCATCCTTTTAGTTACAATAAATCTCATGAACCATTCCCTATTAGTTGAAGGGAGGCACTGAAATCTGGAGGCAGACTCACCATGAGGCACACTTACAGCAAGACTCGAGTGTCTTCTCACTTCTTTTTCACCTGAGTTTGCCTCCCTAGAGCTGCTTCTGACAGCAGCCGGGACTACTGCTCGTTATTATTAATATATTGTGATTGTTCCTTTGGGTTTCCAGTGGAACAGAGGACTTCATCAACACATCCCCTTCAGCTGGCCCACGATTGCCCAAACTCCCTGATCTCTTCTTCACAAGCTCTCCTCCATATCACCCCAGGAGGACCCACTCATCGTCTCCCATTGAGATTACACTAGAGGGCCTGGAACGCGATGCCATTCGACGGCCTCCTCGATGTATTCCCGATCCATCCCCATTTTATCCTACATATTTTTCGAGTAATCAGATCCTGGTTGGTTTTTTCCCAGCCAGAGATTTTGTTGCTGATTCTTTTTGGTCGTTTGATATTCAGTACAGAGTCAGTGAAAGTAGCTATTGAGGAAAGTCTGCAACCCATTGAAAAACCTTTTCGTGACATGCAGTGCAATTTTCTGACCCCTACAGAAGGGTCGACTTGAAATTGGTGTTGAAAATCCGAATCTTGTTTTCTTTGTGCTGAGGCGGAGTGCAGAAGATTTCCCAATTGGTTTAAGGTTGATGAAAGCGTATTCTGCCTTCTCGAATCTGGTTGGCTTTGACATCTTTGTCCGTTCCGCCTGCAGTTGAAATCATGCTTCTTACATAAGTACAACAAGTAACCTCTGTAAAATCTCCCCCGTTGATGGTGACTGGTGATGGTTGTTGTTGTTGTTGTTGCGGTTCGTTGATTGTCTTCATCACCTCCGTCTTCTCTATGTTCATTAGAAAACCTGTCTTTGATGCCGCCTTCTTCAGCCAGTTGGCTGGTATTCGCACCGGTGAAAGCAGCACCATAGTTCCAACACACTCTAAATCATATTCAGTCAACTCGCTACGCCACTGCCCTCCGGGTCTGCCAGAGTCACATCAGGTGAGCGGCAGGAGGAACTATGTATGATCTTGCCAATAATTAGAAACCTATGCCCCACAAATAAGAAGCAGGCTCACGGGTATCAATTAGGCTTGCAATAGCTTGCATATTGGACATTGCGGATCAACTCCAGAATCGTGCGAGTTTTACGGTTGTAATTTGGTAGTTGTGCAACGAAACAATAACCAATCAAGTTAAAAATAATTCAGTACGAAAGAGTACAAATCTACACTCAAAAGAGTTAATAACAATCCGGTGAGAAAAATCACATTTGTAGAGTTTTCCATAGCTGCGTCATAGTCATCATGAAGTCTACTAATCACTCTATCCACAAGATCTGTATCAGTTTGCCACCACTGGTATTGGTGACGGACCAGTCTTTGCAGTTTTCGTCACCATCAGATCCGTTCGGAGAAACTAAACGCGATCTTTCCAAGCAAACGTTGAGATCAATGTCAATTGTATTGCTTCGAATACCTTCGGTAACAGTGAGAATTATCTGAGGATGTAAACATGTAAGGTGAACTGATCTTACCTCTGGTAAACAATTCTTCATCTTAGACACACTGAATATGTGAACAAGGCAGGGAACAATCGTAAATTTGGTGAAATTCTATAGATTAGTCGTCCATATATTCCACGGTAGATTTTAATATATCTACCACACTTTCTCTTCTGTAAAAAGCAAATATTACACAAGTGACTCTCTTATCCATCCGCTACAAGCAACTGAAAGAGACCAAATCTTAAAACTTTATACTCTATGCTACCGGAGGACTAACTGGTGAAAGGATCAACTCCATTCAAAGTAGTAAAAGTCTTAACACACCTCACACTATAAACCACATATAATTAATCCCTGCACTACTCCTTTTGGAGTCAACCAAAGCTACGACAGTCGAGTGGTGGGACGAGCTACGCAGAAGTTTACCGAAGATCAGGAACCTATACATCACAATCAAGAGGCGAGCACAAAGAAATCAAATTGATTTATACTAGCTCGTAAAAACGACATTGGATATTGGAAATTACTCAGTAATATTCTTCTGGTAAGTGGATCCAATGCTTATCACATCTGTGAAATTTATACATATGTTAACTTGCTCCCTTAAGCTGAAAAACATAATGTCTATCTGATTTTATTATTGCTATTTTAAAGCACACCTCGGCAGCGTCCAACACTCATTAGTCGCAGCGTTTATGCAAACGAAAATCTACCAATCACAATATATGTAAGTGACCTTCAAGTGCTCAGCCCCTCCATAAGAGAATTTAGCCGCCGTCCTCTGTCGTGGGATTCCAGATCAGGGTGAGTTCCTGCGTCTACTGTCTGTTTGTTTTGGTGAATTCGTTTGCCATTGGAATTTAAAGCTTTTTTCGACGTTTTGCATATTTTAACGTGTCGACGTCGATTTCTGTCCGGTGGTTAGGACTCTCGCCGACCATGCACATGGTCCGAGGTTCGATCCCCTGCCGACGCACACCCGATATCTATGGTCGGCCTGCAAAATGTGGGCTACCGAAATCCATGCTGAAAATTCCATACTTGTACTGAAAATACGGTGTGGCATCAAGCTGTTTCCAGAAAAAAAATAAAAAAATAATTTGATGCTACCATAGAGCCTGTTTTTACTTTTAAGTTCACAGTTACTAATTTGGTAGTTAAGGCTTCTAGTAAAACAGGAATCACTAGGCTAATTCGCGATACTAGGCTATGATAGTAAACTATTCATAGCACAAAATGTAATTGTAGTCTACTTACGATAACGCTGAATTAAATCTCGGTAATTCTGATCTAACTCTAAGATTCCCTAGTGAATAAATTCTAAAACTGTTCTGAAATTGTTTGATTGTTTGAACAAACTGGACTTGTGTTCTGGTTGTCAGCATGACTGGCAGTAATCCAGCTCCCTGTTCTTCTTTTTGGCATTTTCAGAAGTAGCTCAGAACCTAGTGTGCTTGTTTATCAGCCTGATTTCGGTCCGTTTAGCCAAGATTCGGCGTCCAGTGCTCATTTTTAAGAACGTCCAGCGTTATTTCAGTACAATCTAGGTTGATTCCAGGTAGCTGAAATATTCACTTACTGTAAAAAACCACTATTGACATGTAGGTTGGAATCAGTTTAGAGTTGTTGTAGGGTTGGGCCTGAAAGCGTTGCTGCGGTATAAGTGGTAGATCCCATTAGTCACCGTTACTCAGGATATGCTGTGAACCAGTTATCGCCGGCTGATAAAGAGCAGCAAATACGGCACAGATGGGTGTAGTTTCTAACTGACATCTAAAGTGCTTTCATCGCAAAACAATCAACCAAAGTTACAGGATTTCATCATGAGCTGACATCAGTTAGAGAACCATTGGAAAACGTGGGAGTACTGGACAGGTGTTTCGTCCTAGTTTGGGACTCTTCATCAGTACGCACCCACCGGGATTCGAACCCAGGACCTTCTAGTTACAAGGCGAGCTCGTATACCATTAAGCCACTGAGACCCGATCCAATGGTCCATGAATTCTAACTTCTGCCAATTCACGACATAGCGCTACCCCTAGTCCCAAACTAGGACGAAACAGCTGTCCAGTACTCCCAGGTTTTCCAATGGTTCTCTAACTGATGTCAGCTTATGATGAAGTCCTGTAACCAATCAGATCCCTACAAACCAACACTTGAAAATCAACCAAAGTCTTTTAAACTGTCACTCTTAGGCATGTGAAGGAAAAAGAAGTATAACAACAGTTTAAACATACATGTTCATACTATGAATACATACGGAAACAGTAAGGTAATACTAACATTTTCCCTTTTTTGTTTTCGTGGTCTCCGCTTACGCCAGACAGACTGCAGTTCGGATGAACTAAAGGATAATTTCTACCTGAAACTGTCTAATTTGCTGCAAAAAGCAAAACGCTCAAATTAAGTTGTTTCAGCAGGTGACTTCAATGCCCAAGTGAGGAAATTGTGCCTGACTGAGGTGGAGTTCTCTGTAGACGAACCGACGAGAGTGGTCGTCTTCTAAAATTCTGTTCAGATAATCACCTGTTCTTAGTCCGCACTAAATTTAGGCACAAAGAAGCATTGCGTAACCTGGTGACCTCCATCACCAAATCAACGCTGGACTCAGATAGACCACATAGCGATAAGGTATCGTTGACGAGGGTCAGTAGAATATATGTAAAAATTGGGCACTGTGGTAGTAAGTAATTCCATATTAGTTTGTTTATTAGATATATCACACAGTGAAACAGTATTATTTACTGGATGACGTTTCGAACAAAATTTATTGTTCATAATCATATCAATTGTAATCACACGACTTCGAGACTTGAGTTGAATGATGAAGTCAACAATCCAAAGTCAACGGCGATCGATAAATCAAAGTGGGTTATCAATCTCTCAACACATATATTAAGTCCTACGGAAATAAGTTTATTAGAAAAGGGACTAAATTTCAATGTATCAGTAGACAAGCTGAAACCTGAGGATGTCATCCCTAAAATAGAAGTAGCACTAAGTGGGGTAGACAAAACTACGGCTGATGAAGTACGGGCACGATGTGCACTGACATTAAAACGACAAAAATGTGGAAAGCCTAACCTGATAAAACAAGAGACAGAAGCCCTGAAACACCTTAAGAATAACAAGGATATAGTTATCACAAAGTCAGACAAAGGAAATGCAACAATAGTATGAGACAAATCAGACTATTTGGATTGGGTAAATACTCATATACAAACAGGACCATATGTGGAAATTAATAAACCAATAGATACAGTTATGAATAAAGTTAAGAAATCCACAGCGGACCTTATACGCCGAATGAAGCCGTTTCTAGGTGAGTCTAAGTGGTTTAATTTAGTGCCCAAAACTAATAACCCCAGTAGCATGTATGGTGTTGTTAAAGTTCATAAGTCAGGATACCCTATTAGGTCTATAGTTGATTTTAGAAATTCACCCACTTATGAATTATTTAAATATTTAGCCATGATATTAAATCCCCTTAAAAGACACTCAAAATCTATACTAACTAATCTTTATGAACTAAAACACAGATTAGATAATTTAAAACTAGATAATGAATAAAAAATGGTTAGTTTTGACATGGTCAGTTTATATACCCGTATACCAATAAATATGGCTACAGAGGCAGTCAGAAACGAACTCATTTCTGATTAAGAACTCGAACTTAGTACAAAAGTGCCACTTGAGGACATAATGCTGGGAGTACAGGTATGCCTGACTTCCACAGTATTTAAATTCCAAGGGGAAATATACAAACAAACTGAGGAAGTTGCCATGGGATCACCAATATCCCCAGTTGTAGCAGATATATTCATGGATAGGTGGGAAAGCATAGCGATTGGAACGTTCAGCCTCATCCCAAAAGTATGGTTGAGGTATGCAGATGACACATTTACTGTACTTAGAACACAAGATATAGATAGATTTTTCGAACACATTAACTCGAAGGTTGAAGCAATTCAATTCACTTATGAATTGGAAAATCAGGAAGGGGAGCTCCCAATGTTAGATTGCAACGTAAAAAGGAAAGAAGATGGGAAGTTAAACACTAGTGTTTACAGGAAACCCACACATTCAAACAGATATTTGGACTTCCGATCATCCCATCCTATGTCAGTAAAAACAGGATTGGTGAAATGCTTAAATGACAGAGCACAAAAACTAAGTAGAACCAAAGAAAAATCTAAAACAGGATTTGATACACATAAAAGAAGCTTTGAAACTTAATAATTACCCTGATAAACTAGTCAGGAAATATGTAATGGAATGTAAAAATAAAATAAATAATGATAGTAGCGATAGTGATAATATCAATAGTAATGATAACGATAATAATGATAATAATAATAATATTAATGACGACACCAACAATAAGGAATCTAAATCATCAGTAGTGATTCCATACAAGGAGGGAACCTCGGAAGCCTTACGCAGAATTCTTAACAAGGCAGGAATAAAAATGGCATTCAAACCCACAAACTCAATTAGAAAGAAGCTTTGTCGGTTAAAGGATCTTGTAGGGCCTTTAAAACAAAACAATTTCGTTTATCCAATACCCTGCAATGATTGTCAGGTCAAATACATAGGTCAAACTAGTAGAACAGGGGCAGTCAGACTAGCTGAACATAAAAACTTAGCAAAATCTACATTTGTTGATCCAAATAAGATAAGAAATCTAGAGAATGGTTCAGCTATAGCACTACATGCAGTTACACACAACCATACAATAGGATGACAGTTTTAAAATCTAATGTTACAGGGTGTAGGGAGAGATTGATAAGAGAAGCTTTGTTTATCGAATCAACTGCAAATAGATGTAATAGGAATGATTCATCACCTGTCCCGGATATCTGGAAAATTCGACTACCCCTACGACAAATAGGAGAAAACTATAAAACTCGAGGGTCAGTAGAAGACTGCCGCTCCTTCTGGAATACGTGCGTAGACTGCGATCACGCCCTGGTTTCCGCACGTTTCTGGTAACGTCTAAATGGACATAAAAAACTGTTGGCAGCAAAGCAGTTACGCCACCAACTAGTTCCAAAACTGAATCCCTATTTAAGGAGCGACTGGCGAAACGTGCTTCTGAGGTCGGCAGCAGGACTGCTTCTGAAGAAGCCTGGCACAACACACAGTTAGCTATAGACATAGCTGTAAAAGCCGTCAATAAGCTAAAACCAAAAGTTAGTAAGAGCTATTTGATTTCTACCGCCTCATCCTAACTGATTAACGCGAAAAGACTGATTCTGGCGAGCTCCGAATATGATGAGGGGTGAAAGCTACTCAAACGCAAACTAACAAGAATCCTTCGCAACGACTGTGAACAGTAGTGGCCGACAAAAGCGAAAGAAGTGGAAAAGGCATCAGCGATAGATAACACCAGACAACTATTTAGACTTATCAGGAAAACAGGTGGCAAAATGCAAATGATAAGTGAAACAAACTCCGAGAAAATTGGCACCATAACTAGCTTTCAGGACAGACGACTGGAATGTTAGAAAGAACACTTTGAGGAGAAATTTAACTGACCTACAGCCACACTCAACCTACTGAGCATCCAACACCTCCCTGATTGGGATGTAGACACCGATCATCTAACAGAAAATGAGGTTATAGAAGTTGTCACGAGTCTGAAACAAGGTGGAGCAGCGTGACCTGATTGAGTGACTCCACAGGTATTTAAGTACGGTGGAGACAGTTTACTGTCTGCGTTAACTAAGGTACTAGGCAGCGTCTGGGAATGAGAGGTAGTCCAGTGTGGGTGGTGTAGGTCACTGATTATCCCGAAATACAAGAAGGGAGACAAGTCTTCCTGTGGTAATCACAGTAGAATTAGCTTGACCAAAATGGTATCTAACGTTCTGGGTTCAATAACAATGCGTAGACGAGAGAACTAGACAGGCTCCAGACCAGGAGGAAGGTGTACCGATCATATCTTCACCCTTCGACAGATTCTGGAACGGAAGATAGGCATACTTACCGGCGTCCAACAATCGTCATATTTCTTGACCTGAAAGCTACATTCGACTCCATCGACTGAGATGTACTCTGACGATGTTTGGCTGTAAAGGGAATGCCGAGGAAATACACTGCACTGATCAGGGCACTCTACTCGAACTCATGCAGCCAGTCAGGTGAGGGCTTCCGGAGAGTTGTCATCTGAAGTGGTGTCCGTTAGGGATGCCCACTATCCCCATTTGTATTCAACTTCATCATAGATGTACCAATGGACTTAACCCTAACTGACAACTTCAGCGACTCAGGGATTGACTTGTTACCAGGGGATAATCTCGTTGACCTAGAATATGCAGATGATATAGTCCTTTTAGGTGAAGATGCCGAGTCTTCTGAACACCTTGAGGAGCAGCAGTCCTCGAATGTTTGGCATGCGATTTGCTCCCGTCAAATGTAAGATGATGCTACAGGACTGGACTACATTGACTCACACCTAGCTCAGATATAAGGAGTGAAGTGATAGAGCGTGTTGACCACTTCACTTGCTTGGGGAGTTGCATCAGCCCCAACGAGCTGATCGCTGGCGAAATATCAGCACGAATACAGAAGGCTCGTTTACCATACGCCAACTTACGCCATCTCTGGCTTAGTAGACGTGATATCCAGCTGTCGACCATAGGATGTGTGTACTGCTCAGCAGTTCACTCTATCCTTCTTTATGGCTAGTTTTGAGACATGGTCATTGAAAGTGGAAAATACGAAAAGACTAGCTAGCTGTCTTTGATCATAGGTGCCTGAGTTCTATGGACTCTTGAATGCCAACATTTACTGGTCTGAAGTACCCTGGATTTATATATGACACGTCTCGTAAGCAGTCGGACTACGTGTTATATAGATGCAAGCACGTGCAAACATTACTTTCCTTCTTTCTTTATTGGCGTTCTTTATCTTCTGTTTAGCATTTGTGTTATCACCACACTTTTCGTGAAGCTGTAGCACCTCGTTCGCACGGTGTGGGTTCTCACGAGAGTAAAAGGGCGAGCGCGAATGTTTGGCACTAATAACCGGACTGGTAGACACGGGAACAAGGGGACTGTTCCCAAACCTATCGTGCAAAGATACTTCAGAATCTGAGAAGGTGTAGAAACCTGGTGCCGCTCTGCAGTGTTGTCGAAGGCATGGGCTTCCGAGCGGTCTTTCAGCCCTCGCGCAAACAATGAAATGGCAATCACTGGGATGCTAATTGTGTGCTCACTGTCACAAAATACTTCTCCAATCGTACTTTTAGCAACTTAATCCTTTTCATTTTATTTTTATACATTAACCTCTTAATTTTTGATCACTCTTTCAATTTCTGAGATATCCACTTTGTTAGCCTTTCTGTATTGTTTGAAATCCAGGACTATTCGTACTGTTTCGAGTTGTTAGCTACAGTCAGAATGTTAACCTCCGGTGCGATACCTAACAAGGCTATTCGGGAATCGCGTGTCGCCTTGCATGTCTTTATATTAGTCCGAATTGGACAACAAGCAGGTCTTAGAAGACGCCTGGACAGTCTCGCTATTGATGTAGGCTGCATTACAGAGACCCTTATTACAAGATTTCAGTGAGGCGTCTTGGATTTCTTCACCCATAGGTTCTAATAGCGTGTACCACGTGTGCTTATTTGTGGACCCTGTGGTATCATCATCCAGCCTCTGTGGTGTCGGTGTCTAACCAAAGCTGCATCACTCGACTGAATTCTCACTAACAGTCGTCTGTATGCTATGATACTAGAAGGTTATAGTAGAGTAAGAAGTGACGAGGTAGAGAAGCGTTGCCTATTTGTCATTTGTGTCTACGCCGCAAAGATGAAATCAAGGATGTTCTAGTATCATCTGAGTGAGCTTTAAAGTATGAGCATCCAACATGTCTTAGTGCTAGGTGGGGACTTGAATGGCTTGGGTGTCTGCACTCAGAAGGCAAACGTCTAGGTGGTCAACGGTGACTGTATAGCCTCAGGTTAGATAGAGGGGATCGTTTATTCAGCTTTGCGTAGATCACAATCTGTTTCTAGCCAGGAACAACTGACAGCTATCTGGTGCTACCTGATATCGTCCCTTTGCCACTCATACTTGGACTCGGATAGATAACATCGCTATAAGCAATCGGTGACGTGGGTGCATACAGGATTACTGCTTCTTCTGGAGTACATTTTTTGATTCCGATCATGTTTTTTGTCTGTTTCAGGTTCTTCTTGAGACTTGCCGGCGATCAGAAACATCCTAAACAGGTTAATGTAAGTAAACGGGTGGCATATGAGTAGCGAACGGAGTTAGAGTCAAGGCTAGCTACTACCACAGATGAACATTGGCCAGACTTAAAAACCGCCACTAAAATGGCGAGTAAAGTTTCTTGTGGCTTAGAACCCCCCTCTAAAAGCCAATGAGTTTCTGTGAGTTCCTTGCAAATTCTTTACACCTGTTGGTCCATTCCTGCAGACAGCGAGTGTAACATTCTGCGTAAGGCTCTCTGCTTTAAATCACATAGTGCTTACGTAAAGACCGCAAAACCTAGTGGTCAGAAGACACGTATAAGGTGGAGTCAGCAGCTACATCAGGATAAGTCGGAAGTTGTTCCAACTCATCCGAGCCACTGGAAGCAAGAATAGTGTTAGCGAGGTGGTCTGTAAGACAAATGATATGCTGACCAGCAACGTAGATAGGTGAGAAAGTCTTGTGGGCCAACAGCTGCAGCATCTAACATCAACTACAGTGCTGCACGGTCGTTCAGTACCGCCCCACCAAACTTTTTCTCGGCTCCTTTTAATTATGGTGGTGAGACTCCAGTCAGGAAACTGACTGTATTATCCAGGAAAATGTGGGAGAGCGAGAATATCTCATCAATGTGGAATGAAGCTATCATCGTACCTGTCTTTACAAAGCGTGTACGCAAAGCATGTAATAATCAAGCGCTTTTTTTTGGTCACCAGGAGCTCAGAGTTTAGTATGTTTTCGTCTAGAAACGCTGTCTGCTTGGTACCTACAGGTGTTTTCCATATGTAAATCTGTGGGCTGAGTTAATAAATAGTTACATCTAATAGCTATCTGATAACGTACTGGTGGCTTGCTAGGCTGATAATGGTGATTTTGGTGTCAGTCAACGAGATGAAGCTGTACAAATAAGGAATTTGTCAAATAAGTTAAGTGACAATCTCAGGGTTAGGGTACATTGTGAAAGTTGAATGAATGTTCCCGATTAAATCAAATCTGTTGTTGAGAATAGTAATGTCACTTGTAAGCTTCTGTTTATAGATGTCAAGTCAAGCGTTTCATTAGTTCTGTTGCCCTAATATCTGGTTGCCTAAGTAATGTGTACAGCAACTACTGTTTCACAGGAATGTTTTGGTGGTATTGCGATTTCATAATATCATGAGCGCAATCCATTCTTATTCTGCAAATGCGTGTGCCGTTACTTTCGCGAATGTATTCCGACTTCTGACTAGCGGTTTAATAATTGACATCAAAATACAAGTGAACACAATGAACTCTAGTGGTTAATAAATTGATGTGATTTGCTAGATAGTTGGTCTTAAAAGCTTAATATACATGATATCAACGTATAAAACACACTGAGATGATGCCTATGGTATCTAGGATACATACAGTTAGCTTTAAATAAATGTGTCCTGCAAACATCTAAGCGGAAAGTTAGTTTATAACTTGAAGGGCGATTCAATGTGTAATAGCTCATGATATTTTTTGGCGAAATAATTGCTTGACTTCCACTTAATTTTTCAGTTTTTTGTAGATGGCGGAACGACCGTGGGTAGAAGCTATCTCAGTGGCATTGGCTGCCACCCTTTTCAGCGCTATATTCAACATCCTCAATGACTGTGATGAAACGTATAACTACTGGGAACCGTTGCACTTTATTTCAACATGGGGCGACGGTGGTGGGTTTCAAACTTGGGAATACTCACCTTCATTCGCACTTAGATCATACTTATATCTCTGGCTTTTTGGTTGGCCTTCTTTCCTATCATTTTCATTGGGTCTCCCAAACTGGTTCGCTTTTCTTTCAGTCAGAATTCTAATGGGTACGCTCTCAATCGTATCCACCACTCTGTTATCTGTAACTGTAGCAAGTTATATTTCTGAAAGTGATCTTATTCGAATGGAGGGTTTAGATGTAACTACAAAGCGAATTCTTTTTTCATTTCTTTTTTCACTTTGTCATTATTTGTCCCCAGGCTACTTCTTGGCGTCCACAACGCTTCTGCCAAGTGGGCCATCGAGCTCCTTAACCGCACTAATGCTAGCATTTTGGCTGAGACGTCAGTACTTTTGGGCTGTTGGGTGCGTTGCGATTACTGGACTTGTTGTTTGGCCTTTCGCTGCCATCTTAGGACTTCCCTTAGCTGTGGATATGATTATTCATAAAAAGTTGAATTATCTGGTTAAGTCATCTATTCTGTGGGCCCTTTTCCTCATTCCTCCTCTTGTTGCTGTCGACTCATTTTATTATGGTCGCTTTGTGCTAGCACCCTTGAATATTATCCTGTATAATTTATTCCCACATAGTAAGCAGGAAAGTGGAAGCGCATCACAGTTATATGGAGTAGAACCGTCCTCTTTTTACATAAAGAACTATATCTTAAATCAGAATGTAATGTGCATTTTTGCTTTGTTACTATCATTGCATACCATTTTTAGACTTGTCTTGTGGTTACTTCCTACTAAGAAGTTGCTTAAAACTTGTAATGATAAGAATAAAACTTCGATATCTCAGGTCTCTTTCAAAGTATGCATGTGCTTGTTGCTTTGGAATGGCATATTCTTTTTGCAGGCCCACAAAGAGGAAAGGTTTTTGTTTCCTTGTTATCCTCTTATTGCCATTGCCTCAACAATTTTTATATTAGAATTTCTTCCAGTTTTTATTTGCAAACGCATAAACATTAGTTTCCCCATAGTCGTTTTATGTTCATTCATCTTATTAATGAGTGTTTCGCGCATTTCCACACTTATACGCTGGTATAGTTCTCCAATGTTTTTGGTTAGACATCTTCCTGTCGTACCGTTACAGTCTCACAAACCTATGTTATGTATGGGGCGTGACTGGCATCTATTCCCTAGCAGATATTTTCTCCCAGGAGGTGCTGAACGATGGGATGTGGGGTTCGTGCAGTCCAACTTCTCGGGTCAGCTACCCGGGCAATTTGTTCGACCTGCTCCAGGTAGCGTAGTATCGAGTTCTACTCGGACTGACGGGAATCATTTCAACTCTGAGAACCTCGAGGAACCAGACAGATTCATTAGAAATGAGACTTTCAAATGTAGTTTCATGTTTGATCGAGATTCACCTGTTGCTGAACGTGAGAAACTTTATATATCAGACGTAAAAACTTGGTATTCTTATGTCAACCAAAGTATTAATGAGCCCACACGATGCGTTTTGGACCTTAACTTTCTCAATATAAGCTCAATCTTGAACTGTAGATTTTTGAGAGCATTTTATATTCCGATTCTTTCTGAAAAAACAAAACCTAATGTTGCCCTGCATATACTTGCTCGTTTTGGTAACGGTTTTGTATAACTCATATGTGTTTGACTAGTCCATACTTGCTTTGTAAAATTTTTCTGTGTGTTTATATGTACAAGGAGTTGTACACAAAGTGTTTCTGTTTTGTGGTTTGACTATTTGTCTCATAAATTGGATATCAGCTGAATTCTTATGTGTACTCGTTTTTGTAATTCGTTTGTGTGACTGAAGCTAAAATTAGCTTGCATAAAACTGTAACATGCTACTCAATGCTTGTACTAAAATATCCGAACATACAGTTAATTTAGATTCAGATTTATTGGTTGAGGATAGAAGGCTTGGAGCCTATGTTAATCCTTTTCTAGTAAATTTCTGTGGTTGTCCAAACCCTTCTTGAACGAATCAGTTGAGGCTGCAGACACCACTTCTTCTGGGAGTCGGTTCCAAGAGTTTATGGCTCGATGTGAGAACCAGTACTCAACAGCAATATGATTTCTCCTTGGCTTTCGAACTCTCCTGCTATGTCCTCTAAGGTGTTCCGACAGAGAGGTATTTTGGGCGTATTACTGAAGTGACTCACGTATATTCGCCAACGAGTACTTCGATTCTTCATAATGAACATTAAGTTGACCAAAGAAAGGACGTTAAGAAAACTGGCAAAGAAACTAAAGATTAAATTCGACAGAATATCGTAAGGAATACGAGTTTGAAAGGATATGTAGACCTATACTCATTCAGAACTGGAAAACTCTATTCACACAATGTTTTTAATAAGCTTATAAAGTTGGTGAATTCAGATTACGAGTGAGTTGTTCCTATTAGATGCAAGTTGTAGCTTGATTTGTTTTCACTTATAAATTGTCTGTTGATACGAAGTAGTTCTTCACATTGAGCCCTTCTCATCTGCCCAGTGTGTTAGTGACATGCAGATATAAAAGACTGTTTTAGATTTGCCATCAAACATGTTCCTCGGCTATTGAAGATTGACAACTTGATGCTAACGTCTATGAGAATTTCACTTAGAGAGAAATATTTAGGCCCATATATGTACTTTAACTGGTAAGTACTTTGTCTCACTGCTCCGATTGCACGGTTTGAGGGAAGCATGCGAAAGTGAGTGATATTCGCAGAACCAGTTCTTACAAGTATCCATAAAAGATAAATAACAAATAACCAGTTATCAGCTCCCAGTAACCCAATAGTATTTAGCTATGGCTTACGTACTTTGGTTGTTTTATGCTCTGTCATTCGTACTTAGTAGAATCAATCTGTTATTTATAATTGACCTGCGTATTAGAAAGTGTGAATCTTAGTTCCTAAAACAAAATGAAATATCTCGCAGATAATTAACGCATAGTCGTAGATACTAGAGATGGTCAGTCAGTCACTTTCTTGACATGGTTTTCCCAACAAGTATAAATAATACTAGTAAGAAAAATTTTGAAATTAGCAACAGCTTTTAGGTATACAAAATTTTCCTGTCGGAACTTATTACCTGTATTCATACTTCCTATCTAAAAGGAAAACGTCACCTCAGTAGTTCATCCGACTGCACTTAACGTCAGTGGATTCCAAAAAGGGAAACATTTAAACAATTTCGATCATCCGACTATGTTTAGCTAGCTTCATTGGATTCGTTCACTTCAGATTGCATGCCTTCTGGTTCGCCTTCCTTATCACCGTTGTCGTCCTCATCGTCGCTTGATGTTTGTCGTTCCTCTTCTTCCTCTAGAACCATGTTATCCTGAAATTCAGAAGATAAAATATATTGCTTTTAGATAAGACTCGATAACAGTTGAGTTATGTAGGTATAAACAACCGTAACAGGAACTAAACTCCTGCTTTCCAGCGGTACGTGTTTTATAGGGACACTACTGCTTAATTGTTGAATGGACACTAAGTGGCTTAAATTTATTTCGAATCCGGCTTCGTTTCACAGACTGCTAAACTAGTTATAGTCGAATAAAAGTACTTCTAGGCATTACTGTTTGAAGATTCAAAAGGGTTTTGCTCACAGCCCAACGGTTTCCAGTAAATACACAGGATAAAGTTGTCTATTTACGCAAAGATACCACAAGTCCTAACATTATTGCACGTAGTCTCACTGAATCACCTATTTGTTGATGCATATGGGCTCCTCTTGTAAATTCGAGGATTGATGATGCTTATTGTTTCATCTTGGAAATCCATGGTTTCAGTCTGATGAAGGACTGGGTGTTGTTTATTGAACGGATGGATAACTGCTGCTAGATACTGTAGCTTAGCTTACACTACATATTGTCTTATTTTAAGACACCACCTTTCCTGCTTTTGTTCAATTATGAAATTCTATGCAGCAAATGCGTATACTCATGAACATAAGAGAGAACTGAAACAAGGAGATGCTAATTAAAATTAAAGCCCATAAGAAAAAGAGATAAACGCAGACATATAGCATGCTCATGGACTAACAGTTAGTCGCTTCATGAGTAAATGTCCTGTCCTCGTCTAGTCGTCCTGATTTCCTTTTCAACCTCTCCCTTCTTCAGATATTATTATTCTGCACAGAAACAACTGCTTCACTATCCACTCCGTTAGAAGTTAATTCACAACACCAACTAGATTCTCGCAGTACTTTGCATTTAATGACACTGTTAACTGTATATCCACTACGAAGACGCTTAAGGAAGGAAACTTCTGGTGTCTTCATCTTATCTATTTTCGTATTTCAGTGTGAGAAAAATGTAGTCAGCACACTCAGAAGGGACGGAATTTATGAGTAACAATTGTCGATTTTCATTTGCCGTAAATAAATGCCTTGGGGAGTATCTATACTTTGTGATTTCTAAAATGAGATTCTATGTAGTACCTGTTTGTCATCCGGAAAAGAAGTTGAATCTACAGCAGTTCTTTCTTTCAGTTCGCGTTCCTTACGTTTGCGTTCAATCGTTTCAAAGAAGAAGTCTTCTGTAGTCCGGATAAGTCCTTCAGTTTGTTTTGCATCCAAATCATCTTCGGTATCAACAGCTGCTTCATCCTATGTTCGTAAAGCAATAAATATTATAAAAGCGTTCACTGTAAAAAAAACTGTTAGTTATATAGTAAAAGCACTTCTACCTATACCTTACCGGACCAACAACACATTTTTATGTCAGTAATATGCAGCATAAAAGGAGTTCCACATATTTCCAAATGATAATATACAGTAAACGGTACCGGTTAGTTCCAGTTACTGTTATCATGGATACATATGCTGAAGATAACATGTAATTGCATACATATGGATTAAATCCCATTCCTTTTACATTGTGGAAATGACCTAGTTGTTTTTGTCTCTTAAAATTACTCCTGTCTCAAGGAAAGCATAAATCACCTTACGAAATGTTGCCGTTTATGCATCTCAGGAAATAAAAGTTGCGTTTAGTTGATAAGGATAGTTTCACACAACCTGCACTTATTTTGGCAGTCCAAAAGTGACTGACATTTCATTGTCGTTGAATTGACAGTGTGAAAAGCCAGATTTCATTTGTTGGTTTTATTTACTGAAGTTGTACAAGTTCTGAAGAGTGCAGTGTACCAGATCAGTAACCTAGTCAACTGCGAAGTACCGCCCAATTCTTCGTAAAAATTGGATCATTGGTGGCCACATTATTTGTTATTTGAGGCCGAGAAGAAGAAGAACCTGATAAACCGATTCACTCGCCAGTATCTGAGTTTAACTGTTCAATATTATTCGCCTAGTCAGTGTGAGGAGACTAAGAGATTACTAGGTCAAAGTACAGCTACCAAGCAGTAGAATAATCGTGACTGTAGAATGACTAAACCCATAAGAAACGATGACATCTTCAATTTTCCAGATATTCCGAGAAACTCCCTAAATGAGTAGCGAGTCTTCACGGCTCCAATACTTCTATCAATATGGGACTGCTTACAGCATGTATACTATAAAAATACACTTCCAATTGTTTTCCGTGAAACAACGAGATAGTTAATGGTAATCCGGAAACAGTTAACTATAAGAGATTTATACGATTGTGTGTTTATTTTCGCACTGAAATACATTTGAGTTTCAGTTGACATTCCGCATTTTGAGACATGGTAGACAGATTTGGATTCAGCCATCTCCACAGGCATACATCAACCACGCTTAGTTTATTGGTTCGCTAGTTTCCTAGCCGGTCCTAAGCCCGGGAACAGAGGGGAGGCAAGTGATCATACCTCGGAAAATTAACCCGATCGCTACAGAAACATCAAAACATAAGAAAAACTTCATCTCAACCTCAAGAACATGGAAACGCAGTCTGCTGGACACGAAGTCGAGAAGGTGAGCAGGTCACAATCCAAGTTCAACACTCAGAGACTGAAGGACAAAACTACCAAGGACACCTTCACTGCAGCCGTCAGCGCAAAGTCAGACGTTACGTAGCTTCGGTGAGGAAACTTCTGAAGGAGAACACTGGAACTCTCTGAACGTGATGTTCAAGGAAACGTGCACGACCGTTTTGGGAAGGAAGAAGAGGCGAGGCAAGCCAAGGAATGACTCTCTATGGATACCTGGAAGCTAATAGAAAAGGGGAGGATAATAAAACAGAGGATGAATCGATGCACAGATGGACAACAGAATGGAGGCCGATTTCAGTGTACTTCGAACTGAATAAAGAAGGGGAGAAGAGTGCTGAGAAAGACAAAAGACAATTCTAAGATACACTAGCAGCTGAAGCAGAGCAGACCACAGAAGACATAAGAAAGACCTCGGAACATTATATTAGATAACCAGGACTCTATTTGGGAAGAGATAGAGACAAATGAAACCAATAAATAATGGTCAGGGGAACTTATTTACCATGACTGAGAGACAAAGAAGACTATGGGCTGATCACTTCAAAGGACTCTTGAATCGACCATCACCTGCGAATCGTCCAGAAATACCAACAATAACCACAGAACTCCCAGTGGATACCAGTCCTCCAACAGAGCGGAAATCTTGAATGCAATCAAGCTAATGAAGGCCGGGAAGGCAGTAGGACCGAACAGAATTCCTGTGGAAGCACTGAAGACTGATCCAGTGATCACAGTAGGCATCCTCACCTCACTATTGCAAAAGATTTGGAAGGAAGAAAAGGTGCCTATCAATTGGGAGAAAGACTAAGTCGTCAAACTAAGAAGGAAGGTGACTTAAGACCCACTCTGCAAGAACTGGCGTGGAATAATGCTCTTGTCCACGCCAAGTAAAATACTAAGTCGCATCATCTCAGAGAGAATAAAAGATACACTGGATGCACAACTCCGCGCCCCGGAACAAGCTGGATTCAGGA